GGTAGGACAGATGACACTGAAAACGGAGAGACGGGTAAGAGAGGGGGCCGAGGGGATGCCTGCCCAGAGCCTGGTCCTCCTGCTCTAGGAAGCAGAGATTGCATCTGTGCCCATCTCCACTCATCTGCAATACCCTGCCTTGCACAGAGAGGCCAAAAGTTCGTCCAGGGCCACACAGCAGCTAGGCAAGCCAGCAGCCCTACAGAGGGCAGACGCTCCCAGCAAGGGACTTAGCCACTATCCTGACTCTTCCTCAAATGTGTTTTGATTTTCATGGCCCGTCTCCTCCAGGAAGACCTCCTGGCTATTCCAGCCTCTGCAGAACCCTAGTTTCTAAGCTCCCACCAGCCCTGCCAGGAAATTGGAACCACAGGCCTCCCCTGCTTGACTCCCTTCTGCGTCTGGTCTCCTCTACGGGCCAACAGGGAGCTCTCAGGGTTCCTTCTTCATTCTCCCCTCTGACCTCCCTGGAGGGTGGGCAGCATAGGCTGAAGATCCTGGGGCCTGGGTAAAGACCAGGTGCTGGGCTAGGAGGTGCTGAGAAGCAGCAGCCAGGGTGGGCAGGAGTCGGGTGACACCCACATTTTCACCCATCCACGAGACTTCTAAGTGCAGAGAGCAGGGCGGGCAGGGGACACTAGGCAGCCTGTCTTCTGCTGGTCGCTGCGACCATGGGCCCAGACCACAGAAGGGGCGGGGGAGGGAAGCTGCGGTTGGAGGCTCAGCCCCACTGAGGCACACACAGCTAGTGTGTGACGAGAAGCTAATCTCATCACAGCACCTCAAAACCAGGAAGAGAAACCGAGCTGGCAGAAAGGGTGAGCTGGGCTGTGTGGGGCCCTCAGTTCCTTGGAGGCCTGCCAAGGGGAGCTTCCGGGCAGTCACTGGACAAAGCACTTCTCCCTTCAGGGCCTCAGTTTCCCCATGGGAAAAATGGGACTCTCTCCCTGGTCCTGCCAGTCTGCCTCCAATGGGTGCAGGCTGCATCATGCCTGAAAAACAAGACACTCCCCCACGACCGAGTACTCCCAATCCCCTGGCGGGCTTCAGCCTCTCCGGGGAGCAGTGGCCATCCCCCTGAGGTGAGCCTCACCCTGCTCACGTCTCCCCTCAGCCACGCAGGGAGCACACCAGCTCTTCCTTCACCAGCTCTTTATTTTTAGGTCTGAATTTGACTTTAATCATTACTTAGCTGATTCTATTTCCAGCACTTGGATGAAGGGACCCGGAGGAGAGCAGGGAGGGAGGCAGTGCTCCCGGCCTGGCATGGGGAGCAGCAGCCTGCTCCGCCACCCATCCTGTCCCCAACCAAGCAGGGGGACTGAGAGACACCCAAAGGGCTTGCCCCAGCCAGGCCAGCATCTTGGAGGGGACCCCACCCTATGACCTCATCCCGGCCCAAGCTATGGGACAGGGGGGCAGCTGTCATGCCCATTTCCCCTGCGCCAAGGCCAGGGTGGAGGGAGGCACTGCACCGGTAAAGGTCTGGCAGCCAGAGGCTGAGGTCATGTGCCTGAGGGACCTCTGCTTTGAACGGGCCACCAGGGGGAGGACCCCCACCTCAGTCCTGGGCCACCCTAAGGTGACCTGGGGCTGTGGTCTCTTAGGCCCTGGGAGTGCCAACTCGAGACTGGTTTGGTGGCCCCAGGAAGGCACCCCCAGCTACTCTGGTCTCCACAGAGGCAGGCAGTACAGAGGAAGCAAGGGCTGTTCTACCACATACTCAGGACCTGGGTGAGGCCTGGGGAACACCTGCTGAAGAGGAGGGTGCTAACGCAAGACTCCCCCAGCGATCTGTGGGCCATCTATGTTCCCTTCCTACGCCCAGTTAGGGGACTGTAGAATTCAGCCCTCAAGCCCAGCCCTCTGCTTTCTTCCCTCCCTGCCACTGGGAAAGGGTGGTAAGATGAGGCTGGCATGTGGTCCTGGGGCCAAGTCTCAGTTTTCCCAGATAAAATAAACTCTATCTCCACCAGGGAAATGCAGGGCTGACCTAAGAAGTGGCTGAAGATGGGTGGCAGGAGGCAGCCAGGATCTCAGGCAAGAGTCCTTGTGCACTTGGCTCTGGTGCACGGAGAAGAGAAAGGGGATGGGTGCTGTCAGGTTCTGGGGGTGGGGGGTACATCAAGGAAGCCAGGACAGGGCACTGGCCAGCACAGCCTAGAACCTCAGGGACAGAGGGTTCCAGAAGGGCCCACCGGGTAGACTAGTTCTTCCTCCGCTGGGGGAGCCGTCAGTCAGCCCGGACAGGCATCCTCCACACGCTAAGGCAGCCTGGGGTAGGAACTCCGTCAACAATGCCACCCTCTCCTTACAAGATGCCTGTTGGAGGCCAGGGGGTGTGCCAGGCACATTCTAACACCTTGTTCGGTTGGTTCACACTGTTCTTACACCCACCCCCTGAAACAGGTATCACCATCCCCATTGTGCACGTAAAGGAACTCTGGCTCAGAGGGTGACCTGTCATGGTTCCTCCATGGTGGCCTAAATGGCATAACTGGGCCTTGGAACCAGGTTGGTTGGGTGCCCCCTGGCTGCTTTGGGGGCCTATAGTAACAACAACTACAACAGCGTCAGGTGGGAAACAGCAATGTACATGCTCAGTAAGAGGGTTTGAGTGACGCTGCTGTGGCAGAGCTATTTCAAGGATTTTGTAGCTTTTTAGAGGTAAAGTTACACAGACCTTATAGTAACATGAGAAAAATGCCCATAGACATAGTATTAAATGAAAAAAAAGTGTCATGGCATATATACTCAGATGACAGCAGTGAGGAAGGGAAAAATCGGGAAAAGACTGGCAGAAAACTCCAAAATGCTGACAGTCACTGTGCCGGCAGAGCAATAATGGGTGATTTTTGTTTTGTTTTCTAAATATTCTGTAGTGCTGTTTTGTTATTTCCACACTAAAAGAACAAATACATACGTAGTTTTCTTATAAGCTCAGGTCTGCTTCCCTGGGACCGATCTGCCCCCTGGCCCCAGCCCTGGTGTTCTGGACACCTTCTACCTGGGACGGCCTTTCCGATATGGGGCAGTCATGTGGAACATGTCAGGATCTCTCTCTACCTTCCCTTTCCCAGGGGACTGGTGCCAAGGCTCCAAAATACCTCAAAAGACAGAGCCCAGAACTGGACCCAGGCCATCCTGGCCTGTCAGGACACGTGGTGGCTTGCTGGGTCAGCCGTGCCATCCTGTGGGTCCCGGGCCTCAGTGCCTGCCTGTGCTCGGGGCTGCTCCATGTGGCTCAGCCTCTTGGGGGCCTGGCAAGCCCTGTAGGGCGCTGGGGCCCATCTTTGGTCCTTCCTTGCCCCCAACTCAACAACGATTAGCCACTTCAGAGAGGGAGGAAGGCACCAACCTTGCCAGATAAAATATATCCCTGCACACATGCTAGCCTGAAGCCCAGGCACATTCTCACAAAGGCCTGGAGACCCTGGGCTGCACCTGAATAGCTCACAGTTGGCACAAAAGCACCTAACCACGTTAGGCCTCAGCCCCGGCAGCTCAGGCTGGAAAGGAAGTCAGGGCTGGGTGGGGGCTGGGTAGGGGAGCCTCACGGCCTGCTGCATCTGGGTCCCCTTCACTGTGCATGTCAAGGCAACCGGAAAAAACTCAAATTCAAGGGCAGAAGTCTGAGCAGGACGAAACTGCCAGCAGCCCTGAGGGGGCCCAGACCAGCTCAGCATCCTCTAGGGAGCTCCCACCCTCCAGGAAGGAAAATCACCCTGCCACACTCCAGCCTCCCCAACCCGCCCCCCCACCGTTGCCTTCACCCTGCTCTTGCTGGGGCTCCACCAAGAAGGACACTGGCCCACTGTGGTGTGGTGAGCTTGGAACAGGCCCACTGGGTGCCCCCACTCTGACAATGCTCCTATGCCAAGGCAGCAGGGTGCTCCCTGTAGAAGCAGGGCTCTCATCTTCCTCGTCTGGACCCCATTCAGGTTCTGAACTTGGCTGCTCCTATGTCACCTGGTCCAAAAGTACGGGAGGGCTGGGTCAGGACTGAGCACCAGGCTGTATCGACTCGGTGCCAGGGCCACACCACAGGAGTGCTCCCCCCCCCATCTCCTATCAGCGGGACCCAGCCTCAGGCACCCGGGGAAACCCCACGGGCAGGCTGATGCTGCCTGCGCCCCGGTGCAGGCAGAGCTGGACCCGGAAGCCCTCTTCCTCGTCTCCAGCCCTCTGTAGGGGAGCACATGCTCACCCCACAAGGTCCCTTGGGCCAGGCTGGTGGTCTGTGTCCCTGATGGGTGAAGATGCCTTCCTGGTTTCCCTCTCTACCCACAGCAGTGCAGTTCTGCAGAGTGGGGGATGAAGGATAGACAGGCCTAACTGCCAGAGGCAGCAACTTCCCGCTCTGAGCCTCAGTTCTCCGGTCTACAAAACGGGAGGGGAGGCGAAGCCCAGCTGAACTCCAGGGATCTCAGTGGCTGGACACGCCCCTTCCTGACACCTGGCCAGGGCCCCGAGGAGCCTGGGAGAATGGGCTGACCCAGCTGCCAGGAGATGGGGGGCTCGGTCCTAATGCCCAGTGTCACCTCCAACCACCAGGAGAGAGGCCCTGCCCAGTTTCTCCACCCCAGGGTCAGAGGTTCCTTGGCTTAGTCCTGGTATTCTGGGAGACTCAGGGTGACAGGCTCAATCTCTGGCAGGCTCAAGTGAGGCGGTTGGGCCCCGGGCTTCCTGGAGCCAGCAAGGACTTGGTGGGGAATGAGGGAGGGGTCAGAACCAAGCAGGCCGGGGAACCTGCAGGGAGGCCCAGGGCAGGGAATGGCAAGCTGCCCATTTTCAGAGCCCTGGTCCATGCTGACCCCCTTCCTCCAGGCTCCAAGCAGATCCCACACAGGGATAAAATGGAAATGGAGTAGGGGTGGCCTGAGACAAGTCTGTGGGGTTCACAGGGCAGTACCTCCCTCCTGCACTCCCCTCCTAGTCGGGCTGACAGTGACTCCCGGGAGAATTGGAACCCAGGAAGGAGGGGGTAAGGACGGTGGGGGATGGAAGTGGACCGACGGCAGCTGCAACGGAAGCAGCAGACGCGGGACGTGCGACCTCCGCCCGAGGCAAGCACTCGCACACCCCACCGCCCCCCGGCCTGCTGAGCAGGCACTCACCTCTCTCGGGGTACTGCGGTCCGGGCCACCTCGACGTGGGCAGCATTAGCGGCCTGCAGGGCGGTCCATGCAGCCAGGGGGGAGGGGAGGGGAGCAGGGGTCCCCGGGGGGTGCAGTACAAAGAGGTACTGGTGTGAAGAGGGTGGGGGGGGACGGCCGGGCAGAGGCGGGGGGATGGCCGCGCGGCCTGGGTCGGGGAGGGAAGAAAGGCCGGGGGCGGGGGGCGGGAGGGGGCAGGGGGAGGAAACAATGTAGCCGGCGCGGCCCCGGCGGAGTTCCGCTTCCGAACGCCTTCACCCAGGTCCGATTCGGGAACGTCGCGCCGGCTGCCGGCGGCTGCCCCGGACGCTGGATCGGGGGCCGCGGGGTCCCCCCGAGCTCCACACCCCGGAGGCTCCGGCGGTCACAGGCTGGCTGCGGCGGGAGGCACGGCTGGCCGGGGCACGGCCCCGACGGCGGAGCGGCCGGGCGGTCGCCCCGCTCGGACCCCACCCCGGCGGGACCCCCGGGCAGGGAACGGGGTGGGGCGGGAGCCGGAGGGCGGCGGCGGTCTCGGCGGCGGCAGCCAAGCTCCGCTCGCCCGAGGCTCCGCTGGGAGGAAGCTCGCAGGCCTGGCGAGAGGAAGCGGGGCCCGGATCCTCCGCCCGCGGCAGCGCGCCTGCGCGAGGGAGCCTGCCCGGAGCGCGGCGGGGCGGGGGCCAGCGGGGCGGCGCCCCCTGCCGGGCGCCGGGGAAAGTGCGGGGTGTGTGTCCGCGCCCGCGCCCTGCCCCCACCTGCCCGCCCGCTGCTGAAAGCCCCCGAGGGCCCCTGCCGGAGCGCAGTTCGCCTCCGAGCGACCTCCGAGCGTTCTCGGAGCGTAGCTCCCGGGTTGTGGAAGCGATTGAAGCCGGGCCTTGTCTCCTCCACTTGGATCTGTTTGTGGAGAGTGGTGCTCACTCACAGCAGTAAGCGTTCATTCATTCACATTTTCTGGAGCCGACGGAGTGCCAGACCCTGTTCTGGAGTTCCCTAGTGGGATCACCTCATTACTGTCAAGGAGTTCTCAGCAGAACTGGCAGGCCAGTAGACAAGTGCAAAAAAATAATCGATGAAGGTGGAGAGGTGTGTACAACGTTCACGGGAAGAAGAAAAGGGAGAAGGCTAGTGGGCAAAGCTGGGACTCCGGGCAGAGAGAACAGCACGAGCACTAGCTGGAAGAGGTCAGAGAGCGTGAGGACTCTGGAACCGTAAACAGCTCAGTATGGCTGCAGTTTGCAGCGTGGGTCCAAGGAAGTAGTGGGAGATGGGGTCCCTGCAAGCGGCAGACACAAAAAGAGATCTGAAGAGACTTGCGAGACGTTCTCGGACTTTTGTTTTCAGCCTGGAGACAATGAGGACGTTATCAGTAGCTGTGCGACCTTGGGAAAGTTACTCAACCTCTCTGTGCTATCGTTTCCCCAGTTGGGAAAATAGTACCAACTTCTTAAGGTTTTGTGGGGAGGAAATGAGTTAATGCACTTAAAGAGCTTAGTGTGCAGTGGCTGGCGCACGGTTAGCCCTCAGTTTGGTATCCCCTGTTTTTATATGTCATTGTTAACAAGGAGCAGGGAGATGATCTGCTCTGAGCAGACAGGAGAGAGAGGGTCTGGGGAGGCAAGGTAGAGGGTAATGATGGGGGAGAGGCCAAAAATTACAGTGTAGTAGGAGGTGTTAGGGTACTTCCTAGGAGCTAGGCCCTGAAGGAAGGGTCAGGGTTGGGTCGGCAGAGAAGACGGTCATTCTGTCAGGGAAAAGACTATACCAGCAAAGCCTTGAAATTCAAAATAAGTGAAGGGCTGAGGGAGTGAGACGGACAGTAAAGGGCCCCTGTGGTAGAGTGAGCCAGGGAGACAGTGTGGCTTCAGATTGCAAAGAGCCTCGACGCCAGGAGCAGGGGTTGGGTGTGCTTTTCCTGACAAACCACTGGTTGGCCCTCTGACCCAATGCACCCCTGGGCCAGCTTCCCAGTAAGGGCCAGCTCTTCAAGAAGGAAAGTAGTCACAGCCCTGAACCTTTGAGGAGACATCCAGTAAGTCTCAAAGATAACTATGATGTAATGGGAAAATGCACAAATTGTGGGTGCAAATCTCAAAATTAAATCTCAGCTGGGCCACTTACTAGCTGTGTGACCTTGGACTGTAACTTAAATTCTCTGAGCTCAGTTTCCTCTTCTATAAGATCGGGCTCAAAATACACCTCTCTCGGGAGACAGAGTACAGATGCAGCAAGATAACGGCCTGGTGGGGTGTGGGGGAAGGTGCTCATCTCAGTTGGTTTCCCTTTCTTTCCTCTGAGGTCAAGATGGAATGATAAACTGGGGCCGGATGGGGCCACCTCTCAGCCTCAAGGAAAGCACCTCAGCAGCTCTGCAAAGGCTTCTGGAAGGGAGAAATTGACATCTACCCCCCTTGATCGAATCGGCTAGCGAAGTAGGAGAGGACTGTGGGGATTTGGGGAAATACTCTAAATCCCTGTCCCAATTTTATTACCAGCCCATCATCCTTTACCCCAAACAAAATCTACTTTTTCTCCTAGGTTTGCTGTTTCTTGCAGTGTGAACTTTGGAGTCAAATAGACTTGCATTTGAATCCTGGCTCCACCTCCTCACGGCAGAGTAATATACATTTTTAACTTCCCTAAACCCAAGACACAAGGGACAAATGAATAAAGGGCCGTGCCCCACACAGCTACCCTTTAGTGAAGGTCGATTAACTTCCTACTGCACCATTTATTCATTCACTCACTCACTGAACAGATAACTGTGGAGTATGTGTTAAGTGCTGGACACTGTGTGGATGCTGGAGTTGAGCAAGAAGACCTCCATAGTTCTTACCCAATAGGATAAATCAATAAACAGGGCAATTAGATACTGTGGGTTGAAGGCCAGGAGTGCTTGATGGAGGAGAGAAGACTGGGAAGACAGAAGGGCCCAGAGGGCTCAGCAGCTTAAGAGACAGCCAGAGGGCCAAGGTGACAAGGCCAGCAGGCCGGGGAGAGCGGTATAGAGGAAGGGGCCTGATCCCGCGGGGCGTCGTGGGCCAGGGATCCTACTGTACCGATTTGGATTTTATTACACGAGGGACAGGAGCAGTTAAAGGCCGTAAAGCGGAGGAGTAACATGACTGAGTGAAGATCCCTCTGAGGAGGCTTTGCAGGGTCCCGCCAGTGGTGATGGATGTGGGCCTGGTGGATAAAGGAGAGGCATGTGGCAACCCTTGGTAAGGGGCTGTTTGTGGGGACTCAGGCCACGGGAGCAAGCAGGCCTGACTCTCCAGTGTGGCCAGGGCCCCTGGGGGCATGGTGGTGCCATAGCTGGGGCAGGGAGAGCCAAGGAAATGGGCAGGCTGGGGGTAATGCTTAAGAGGTGGTTTTGGGACAAACTGAGTCTAAGACTCCTGTGGCACATGGAGATGTCAAGTTGGGTATAGAGCCATGGTTTTACAGACAAGGCCCCTGAGGCTCAAATGCCAAGTTCCAAGCTCCACTCCCAGGATTGGGGGTCAGGTATGAGGAAATGCAAAGCCTGGAGCACCAAACAGCAGATGTTAGGAAAGGAAGTCATCAGAGAAGCACCCTTAGATTTTAGAATCGGGGAGCAAATTTAAGAGGAGCCCTGTGCCAGCCAGGTAGGCTCCAGCACTAGTTGTCTCAGGCTGGGCTACTTGTCTGGGGTCTGGAGGAGCTGAGACTTCGAGGAGGGGCTAGAGACCCTGGATGTGAGTGGCGGGGCTCCAGACTTCTGACTGCGTTTTGATGATATGAAACAATGGGCTAGCTCGGTGCAAGGCTTGGTTGGCTGTTGGTCGCCACAAGTCCAGAGCTTAAATGCCCTTGTGGGTGGACTGTGCTCTGCTCCCAGGGTCCCAAGGCCTCTCCCCCCTCCCCTGCCTCCTCCCCTTCCCCAGCCTCTTTGCTCTGAGATGACAGTTTAGAGAAGCTGGTGTGAAATAGTTTGAAACTCAGGCCCTCTGGGCGGTCCCCCAGGGCAGAAAACAGGAAGCCAAGATTAGAGGCAGATTTCCAGCAAAGTCCCCTTCTACTTCCTGCAGAGCAGGTGCTCAGGCTGAGCTGTGAGCAGTTTCCCCTGCTGACGGCACCTCGGGGTGGCCCTAGGCTGGCTGGCCCTCCTGCTTTGGGAACTGCTCTTTGGTCTTGTCATCATCATCCCCAGTGGGGAACTTCCGCCAGGCCCTTGGGGAATAAGCCTCCTCCAGAAAGAGGCTGTGGATGGAAGAACAGTCACTGGGAAAGAGGCCTGCCGGCGGCCCTGACAGGAAACAGCACCGGGGTGCCTAGTCAAGAAGCTGCCCCTGTCTCGGGCAGCAGCAGAGCCTCTGCCCTCCGGCTAAGCCCTCCCACTCTCCGCGTATGGCCTCAGCTCCAGCCTTACAAAGCTATCCTTGGGCGTGAGCGCTGCCTACCTGAAGCTAGAGGCGTCACGCACTGGACACTGTCCAGGGCTGACTGAGTTTATCATGAGGGTGAGGAGTTGGTCTGGAAGACCCAGCTTCTAGGAACACACCTTGCTTTTCTGACTTTGGACAAGTCCTCCCTGTCTAAGCCTCCGTATCCCCACCTGTGTAGCAGGTCTGTATTTCGTGATTTCCTGAGGCTGACTCGCACAAGTGGAAGCCCTAGGGATGGGAGGATGGCTGCCAACTCCCTGCCTTCTATCCCCCTGTGACCAGGGAACTCCATTCACCAAGCATCTATTAAGTGTCAGGTATATTACTATTATTATTACTGATGATGATAGCTAATATTTACTGAGCAGTTACTATGTACGTGCATTTTTTAAATGTCAGATTCAGGTCTGTTCTCTTCACTGCATCAGTTTTCTCCAAAGGGATTTTCTAAGAAGTGAGTCTTTGTTTCTGACATGATGGTGGTAGAAGTCTTGGTGGTGATGGTTTGGTGGCTTCGTCGTGGCTGTAGTGGTGTTAGCAGTGGTGGTGACCCAACTGAGAAGCCATTGGGAGCTGGAGGAAGCCACTCCTGTGGCCTGAGGCAGCCCATATGTAGGACCTCCCCTACCACACCACAGAAGGTAACTGGCTGGGTCCCTGACCTTGAAGGGGGTAGACCCAGAGCCAGGTCCCCGACATGAATTGGTCAAGGTAGCTGGGATCCTGCGCGCCATCTCGGTGCCTCCCTCATGGCACATCCTTGTCTTTTCTCCATCCCTGTCTTCTTGGGATGTGTGTCCAGCGGGGGCACAGATGTTCAGCAGGGTGATGAGAGCCACAGGAGGGATTTGCCACTGGCATGTGGGTGTGGTGCAGAGAAGGCCTCCCCATCTGGGTGTCAGGGCCGGCAGCGGGAGAGATGCCTGGCAGGCAGGCGGAAGGGGCGACAGGAGCAGCGGCCTGGAGTGGAGGGGGTTGAGCTTTGCGAGAAGAAGAAGGAAGCCAGGATGTGCGAGGTGTGAGGTGCAGGGCACGGGGGCAGAACTTCGGGAGCAGAGGCCGAGCAGCCAGTGCCTGCAGAGCCTCCTACGGACCGCGGAGTCTTTGGACCTCCGCCTCAGGCCCTGCCCCTTGAGGATTTTACCACAGCCTCAACTGGGCATTTGCTCTTGCTCAAGGGTGGAGAATTAATTGGCTTTTCGTCCTCCAGGAAGCTGCGATGACTTTTCCCAAAGCCCACGGCTAGATCACTCCCCTTTGCCGGGCCCCTCAGTGGGGCCCACTTCTCAGCATTGTAGCACTGGCCACACTCTTTATGTGGGTTTCCCGATCTGTTTGTGGAGGCTGAAATGTGGTGCTCAGATGTTGGTTGAATGAATGAGTGACATGAATTTCAATTAATAACAACAATATTAATAAGTAACATTAAAATAGGGCTTACATTGCGCCATACACTGTCCTCAGCACTTCACATGTCTTCAGTGTGATTTAATCCTTGCATTATGTTCTTGAGATAAGCATCACTATCATCTCCATTTTGCAGCTAAGGAAACTGAGAGGGGTTCCAGGAGGGCACTCACTCACCAGAGGGTGGGCAGGGCAGGAAGGACTAGGACGCCATCACATTATTCTCACCCAATTTATTTGAATAGCTTCTGGGTTAGAGTTCTGGTCTCCTGCCCAGCTGTGTGACCTTAAGCACAAGTCACTTAATCTTTTGAGCCTCAGTGTTCTCACCTCTAAACTGGGATTTGGAGGCCCACCTCATGGATTATGGGACTCTAAAGGGAGACGATGTGAAGTTCATTGCCTAGTGCAGAGCTCTGGCCCAGGTGCACATTCACTTACTGGCGGTTAGATGAATGTTTTTTCTCTGACTTCTTAAACAGACTTTATAGTCCCGGCTCTCCCCTGCTGTCCTCTGAGCATTCAGTCCAGCTCCGAGGCTTTTGTCTGCTCTTGACCCTGCAGGTTCATAGTGGGATGAGTTAAAACGCTACTTCATCCACTCACCAAATACTGAGGGCAAGTTTACTACTTTCCAGGCACCAGGGCCCCTGGGATGGCGCAGGGCCAGAGCTTCCTTAGTTCTCACTGGAGTCCTGGGCTCACAGAGCCTCTTGCAGGTTGATGCTTCCCCTGCAGTGCTGCGCAGAGACCTTCACCTGCTAGGCGTCCTCTTCAGCCGGACCCACCTCCACCCAGAGGTCCCCAGGGTCTGTCTTAAAGGTTCAAAGCCCCAGTTGGTGCAGTTCCTGCTTCTTCATGGGAACTGTTTGGGGAAAGAAGAAAAGAGGTCCTGGGTTCCCTGTGGTGTGAAGGTTGGAAAGTTGGCCGGGTGGGGGCGGGCAAGGAGAAGGAGCAGGGGGTTTGCCAAGTTTGGGCTGCAAAGGCGAGGAGCTGGGTGCTGGTGAGCTTCAGGCTGAGCTTTTGAAATCACATGTAAATCCTCTTGTTACCTGTGAATAAACTTGTGTATGCCAACATCTGCCCCTGTCAGAGATTGGGGAGTTTCCCGAAGGCCCCTCCCTTGGTTGGGAGTGGGGTGCAGCTGGGTAGGGAAGGGACTCTTCCTCAGCCGGAGGAGGTTGCAGGAGACGCCATTCAGGGATGAAGCCTGGAGGGCCCTTCTTCAGTGGGCTGCGGGGGACCTGGAGGGGAGCATCCCTTCCCCTGGGCTGTTGAGCCCCCAGAGTTTAGTTCTGGAGTGTGGGTGTCTGGGTAGGGTAAGCTTTCTGAGGACTAGGGCTGGCTCCTTTTCCTGTCACTTTGTGGAGTAGCACAGAACCTGTAGCAGTAAATGTGTGTTGAGTAAGAGGGACAAATTCCTCCTCCTGGGATCCCCAGTTGTCACTCCCGCCACAGGACTCGGGGCTCCTGTTCCATGGAGAATGTCCTTGCCTACGTCCCTTTTGTCCTCCCCCAGCCCATCTTTGTGGACCTCTGGGTCTCCAGTAGTCCCTTGGACGTCCAGGTCACCGTTCCTCCCAGCCAATGCCAGGTTTTGTTGGAGAGATGACCCTTTCATCACCCAAAGGGTGCTTCCCCAACCCGGGGGCCATGCAACGCCAGTTCCTCTGAAGAGGCGCGCCAGCCCTCACCCCGGAGCTCCACCGCACGGCCCGTCAGCAGTGAGTGTGCAGGCCTCACAGGAGAAGGGCCCCTCCGGATGTGGGAGCCTGGGTCCTACTTGCTTGATGTAGACAGGGACCTAGCATTGGTTGAATGAATGAAGGACTGAGTCAGACGTGGGGGTGGCTGGGGATGTGAGACAGGACCGAAGCATGGGAAGAGCTGGTTGCTTCGCCGAGTCGGTGTGCAGAAGGAACATGAGGCTGCAGGTCAGCTCGGGAGAGGGTGTGCGACAGAGGGAAGCAGGGCCACCAACACCAGGGACCCTTGGAGATGATTTTCAGTGGCCGCTGGGAGTGAGAGCCCGGGGGCAGCATCCTGTTCAAACCGCACTGGAGATCTGATCTTAGCTGTGTCCCTGTGCCTGCCTTTCTTGGGTGCCTGCCATTTCCCCAGCTCAGTTCTGTCTTTTCTGCCTCCTCTCTGAACAGTACGTTTATTTTTTGCTTATGTTAGCGTGAGGTCGGTTTCTGTTTGTGACTGAGAACCTTGCAGCGCGCCCCCTGTCCCCACACCCATCGGGGCAGCGGGAGAGTGAGGTAAGGTCGTGCGTGGGAAGTGCCAGATTCATAGCAGCGATCAGACAAAGGCCGTTGTCTTCGTCCTGCCCGCGCCGCGACTTGCCTTCTTTCAGGAGTTTGGTCTCACGGCGCCGGCTTGTGGTCTCATCCGGGCTTAGGGGGAACAGCGCCTCCTGGTGGCCAGAGAGCAGATCCCAGGAGGGAGGGAAGGCGACGGGGCTGGAGGCAGGGCAAAGTCATGCAGCTCTGGCCCACAGTTCCAGGGACATGTCTGGAGGGCAGGCGCGTGTCTGTTCTGGAAAAAGTTGGCTGCTATGAGCCTAGAGATGACCTTGTCCCGGACTCGACTAGAGCAGAAACCAAGGCCGGCCCCCTCCAACGGGGCGGGCTGCAGGGGTAGATGCGAGCAGGGAAATGAGGGCAGCTGGAAGACGAGGAGAAAAGGTCACTTCCGGAGAGCATGGGTGGGTGGGCCATCTCTAGAGAGAGGCAGAAACTAGCCCTTCCAGAAACCACCCACAGTGGCTGTGGAAGGGCTTTTCTAGCTGGGGTGCTGGTTGGGGACCGCCAGATCAGCACCTCGCTGCCGGGATTCCCCAGGGTTCCCCACTTTGGGATCTCTGTGATTCCAGGAACACCACCACGCTGGCTCCCAGGGCGCCTGCTGGCCTCCACACTGCTGAACCCTGCGGTTCTCCTGAGTAACAGGAGGAAGGCGACGGTGAGAAGGGAGGCACATTTTGTTGACTACCCCTGCGTGCTGGGTGTTTGTACATTTGCTCCCATCTGATCATCATCCTTCAAGAACAAACAGTAGATCTTACCTGTATGGAAGGGGTGCACACAGCAGGTGATCTGCCCATCTGAAAGCCTGGGCTCTCCCTCCTGCCCCACGAGGGGTCTCTCAGACAGCAGTTCCGGAGGCCTCAGGCTCCTGGTAGTGACGGAGCAGTGAGCCGGGGGACATGATTACATCCTGCTTGCCAGTCCCCTGCGGAGGCAGAGAGGAGCTTCTGGGGCTGGAAACAGTTTGGGCAGGACACTGGACCCCACGGTGGGAGAGCTGATTAGGAAGGATATGAGGGGGCAGACTGGGGTCAAACTTCTGGCGTCACAGCCTAACCGAACCTTCTTAGCAGACCTGGCTTAGGCCCAGGTGTCATGTTTTTGTACAGGGACTTCTAGGTCCTGGCCTGAGAACTGAGAACACTGGCTGGGGCAGGAGGAGCGGCACAGAAAGAGGGGTGCAGAATTGGACAGCTAGGGTGGGGTTGGAGGAAGGGCCATTCTCCTTCCTGCAGATCATGAACCTGGCTTTTTTCAAGAGCCACCAAGCAAGGCTGAGGTCAAGTCCGACTCTGCAAATGACTAGTGGTGTCATTCTGGGCCAGTGACCTCTGTCTCTGTCCCCATCTTCCTGGTGGGCACGGGAACACTGCCCTCACAGTGTTGTGAGGACTTACTGGGCCAAAGCTCCAGGAGGGGCCTGGCAGTAAGCAAGTGCTCAGAAACTTTGCCTGATTCTTAGGCAGAATCAAGGGGGCGGCTAGACTCAAGATGTCTCCAAGATTCTAGGATTTAATTTCTCTGAATAGAAGATTCCTGAGAAGAGGTAGGTGGGGGTGTAGAACGGGCCATTTCCAGGTCTACCCCATCAGTGTTTCTGTTGCCCCTCGCTCAGAATGGATGATGGCTCAGCCCCGCGGGAAGTTAATTCCCTGTCAGTGGAGGTCAGAGAACAGAGGTTGAATTCCTGGTAGGGATGTGGACAAGGAATTTCTACTTGGTGTTGGCCTATGAAGACCAGGCCAAAGAATGATGGGAGAGGGGGCGGCGGGAGCAGTCTCTGGCCCTTCTGAGTGTCTTCTGCAGAATTTCTCAGTAGCAAGGACTTGAGACTTGTCTTGAAGTTGCATTTGCGAAATAAACATACTTTTCCTTTGATTACCTATTTGGGATGGGGTCCCCAGGGCTGAGGGTGACCGTCCTTCATGTACTTCTAGGCATGGCCACGAGGGGGCGGCCTAGACTGCATTCTTCCTGCGCCCGCTCCAGGCTGGAGGATGGGGGCCGGTGCTGGCCTGAGAACTAACACTGACTGGGGCAGGAGGAGCGGCACAGAAAGAGGGGTGCAGAATTGGCCAGCTACGGGTGGGGTTGGAGGAAGGGCCGTTCTCCTTCCTGCAGATCATGAGCCTGGCTTTTTTGGCGGTGGGGGTGGGGGCAGTAGGCAGGTTTCCTTTTCCAATCCTGCTACTGGAAAAAGGTAGAATCTGAAGACTGTAGTTACAGCAAGCATATGGGAAGCTTCCCAGCCGGGCGTTTAGGGACAAACTACACCTGCTCTGCGCGCACAGGAGGACAGGAGGCCCCTAAGGGCTGTGCGCATGCCCAGTGGGGAAGGACGCAGGAGGGGAACCTAAGGCACGGTGGTAAGCTGGTGGGCTTTGGGCCCTCCTGGAGTCTCCTGTCATCCGATGGGTGGGCAGACCACGGTGCGGGCTTTCCAATACCCTGGGCTTGCACACCCCTCTGAAGAAATAGACCCTGCAGAGAACGGAGGGCTCAAAGTGGGCACTGGTGTGCAGGGGAGCAGGCCTGTGTGTAGTGAGTGTGCTTCCTGGTCTCTTCCCAGGTCAGCTGCTTCCCTGGGCTCTGCACTGGCTTACTTAGCACAAGCACAGCTGTGGGTAAGACCCCAGGATTTCCACCCCTCCCTCAGAGTGGGGCCTGGGACCCCCTCTGGGTGAGGAGATGGGGGTCAGGCAATAGCTTGGGTAGAAGTCAGCTCTTGTCAGACTCATCAGGGGCAGAGCAGAAATGCCAGGAGCCCCTTGGGCTTCAACTTGTGGCTGCAGGGCGGGGGCCAGAGAGTTTAGCCTGACCCTAGGATAGAGGAGAGGAGATCCTGCCCAGTCCCACCTTCTGCCTGTTTGCTCAGCTGTGTGGGAGCCTGGTAGAGGATCCTGTGGCTCCGGGCAGTGATGGCAGCTGGGAGGGGGCCTGGCTGGGCAGAATAAAGGCTGGGGTTTTGGCCTTGTCCATGCACAAATCCATAGGTTCCTATCTAGACCCCAGTTTCCTCACCTGTGCTGTGGGAATCACTTATTTACTTATTCATTGCACATTTATCTTAATGTTCAGCTAAGGGCAGGGCTTCTGCCATCCCACCCCTGGGTTTGAGTCTTTCCTCTGCCACTTGTTGGGCAATTTATGTGTTGTCTCCTGAGCCTAGGTTCCTCATCTGTGAAAAGGGTTAAATATAGTGTGCACCCCGTAGGACTGTTGTGAGGATTAAAGCATTATTATGTGATGAAGAAAATGGGTACTGACTGCCTGAGGATGCCTTTGGAGGGAGCAGTTACAAGAGCTCCAGGCAGAGAGCTGTCCCCCTGAGAGGACACGTCCCCATCTCCCATCAGAGCTCCCATTCCATGAATCCACCTAGAAAGCAGAGGGCCAAGGGGCCTATGGATAAAGCTCCTGCAGGTCAGCTTCCCATAGAGAGAGCAGGGTAGGGAAGGGGAGAGAGGGAATCTGGAGGGAAATGGAAGATAGACAGTACACATTTGTTGTATGTGTATCTTTTGACTTTGTTTATGATTCTTTTCAATGCAGAATGATTTATTTTTATGTAGTAGAATCAGTCTTTTCTTTTATAGCTTTTGGACTTGTGTCAAATTTAGAAAGGTTTTTTCCACTGTCAGATTATTTTAAAAAATCAATTCCATGTTTTCTTCTGGCCTTTTATGATTTGATTACCAACATTTAAATTTTTGATCCATCTGAATTTATTTCAGTGTTAGGAGGGAGGGAGGTATTCAATTTTTTCAAAATTATTTATTCAATAATATATCTTTCCCACATTAGTTTGAAATGTCACCTTCTAATAAAACTTGTATGAATTAATGAATGAATTGGTAGGACTGCTGAGGACAGAAACTCACTGTTGTTATCATCTGCTACACAGCACTAGACTTCACTGCTACTCCTTGGTCCTGCTTGGGGTTCATCCCTTCGTGTCCCCTGGTGCACATACCCCACCTGTACTCTGAGCCTCCAAAGTGGACATGGGGTCCACAGGAAGATGTAGTTCCGGGAGTGGCCCAGCCAGGAGTACCAGTGGGCTGGTGGGGAGAGGGGTTAGGAGTGGGCATGGATATCAAATGCTAGTTCTAGGAGTGTGTATAAGGCTGCATGTGTGGGGGTGCTCACTCTCTGTGGATGCATGTGCATGGGCAAGTGTGGACCTGGAGTGGTCAGGTGTACACGTATGCATGAGTCCGCCAGGTGTGTGTTCGGGTGGATCAGCATACCAGCCAAGTATGTGCGTGCTTGCAGCCAGACATGCGTTTGCAGGTGTGCCTGTCATCTCCTGTGCCCTCAGGGCCACAGGAGCGTCTTGTTCGCGTGCCTGAGAGTCCTTCTTGTCATGAGAATTGAGGAATCTCTCAGTCCCCAGATAAATGCTTCCTTTAAGGTGGGGGTGGATGTTGGGTGGTGGCCGGCAGGGTACATAGACAGGTTTGCAAAGTGTGTTTCTGCTCCTCCTGCTTGCAGGCAATGGTCCCACCTGAGAACTTGGACACCTGGATCTGGTGATGTCACCTCCCTGGACAGGGGTTGTGTAACCCTGCCCAGAGCTTTGGGGGGCCATGGTGTGGAAAACAAGTAGCTGGGGCAAGATCCAGGCAGACCTCAGCTTCCACCTGCTTATCAAACAAGGCTGTGCTGTGGCCTACAGCATCGGTCGTACAGCCCAGCTAGGAGGGTCTGGCCGCAGGGATCTCTCTTCCAACTGTCCCCCCGCCCACTGCCCCAAACCAACACACACGCTGCTTCCAGGTGGGGAAACTTGCCCGGACTGTGTCTCCTGTGCAGAGCCTCTGGTTGCAGCCCATCTGGGGTGAACCCTCTGGACACAGTGCTGGGTGCGGAGAGGCACAGAGGCACGACAGCCCTCTCCCTCTCCGCCTGTCTTTCTCTCCACCCCCTCCCTCCCCCAGGAGAGAGCCCTAGACTGATGGTGGAGCCCCCGAACTCACCTGGAGTGAGGGTGAGAAAGTTGGGGTGTGGGTGAAGGTGCTGCTACACAAATGAAACTGAGGGTTGGAAGGACTCTTGGAGGAGAGCAGGGGCCTCCTCAGCACCCCCGCAGCGTGCCCTGTGCTCTCTGGAGGGACTTCTGGGGCCCCCACCTCATCCCTCTCTGCAGTGTGGTTCCGGGGAAGCCCGTGCTGGACTCTTCTCTCTCATCTCTCCTGGCTCAGCCCTGGGGCCCAGGGCCATCCCTGCACTGGCTTCCTGCACTCAGTTACTCACTTGGGCAACACACAGAGACTGCTCAAGCCAAGCCAAGTTCTGGGGACAGAGAGGTGAATGAGGCCAGGCACTGGGGTCTTGCAAGAGGACCCAAACCAGCCCCCGGGGAGGGGGTCAGGGTTGTCTTTGAAAGAAGGGGTGAGGAAGCCAGTCCAGGTGGTAGGGAGAGACACACAAAGAATGATAAGGCCGGAGGGTGCAGACGCCCTTCCCCGAGCAGCCTGGGGGGTCACTGGGCTTCCCTGGGGCAGGCGTCACAGGGGGAGGGGGCCTATCCCACTGGGAGGTGAGTTTCCTTCCGGCAGCTCCTTCTCATGCAATGGGCCGGAAGGGGCTGGGGGCCCATTGTTCCCTGGCACGCCAGCACCCCCCAGCCCCCCCAGCTTCTGGCCGGGGAGCAGTGGAAGGAAGTGGGCTGAGCCCAGGCCCTGGCAAGACCCCAATGAGAGGGCGCAGGGTCCCGGGAATGCCAGCTCATACATGTATCTGGTGCACACATGGCCGCAGTGCAAACCCACCCACTTGTCCCGGGTTCATGTCCATGGGCTCAGTCCTATCCCGAAACCATGCTTTCCAGCATTCCTGGTGTGTGCGCATGTGTGTATGCGTGTTTTTTGAGCACTGACCTAATACCTGGTGCCTTTACTCTCTCTTAAAGCCTCCCTCAGACCCTGTGGGGTAGGGTTATTGTCTCCAGCTGCAAGATGAGAAGAGATAGACCCAGAAGGTTTATGTAACTGGCCCAGCGCTGTGGGTAAGCAAGGATCCGCACCTCTCTCCATGAGCCAGCCTCCTGCCTGTTCCCTCTCCCTCCCCCAGGCCCTGTGGGATCGGACTCCTATTAATTACCCACCAGGGATGGAGTGGGTGGGGCAGAGGTGAAGGGGTGGCTTAGGGAACTGTATCAAGTATCACCGTGTTATTCTAAAATCAGAAGAATCTGCTGGCCAGAGCGCAGGTGGCCTCAGTGAAGCCCAGAGGCTGCCTCTCTGCCTGGCGTGAGGCGAGGGGCACTGGGGCAGGCTCCTTATGCCAAGTATCCTCCCCCCCTCCCCACCGCACAGCCTGAGAGGCCACCACTACAGCGGCGCGTCTTTGAATTATGGCCCTGACTCCAGAGGGCTCCTGTGAACCTGGTGTGTGCCATTGCAGAGGGGACCCGGAGTGCAAAGTCTTGGGGGCCTAATTTTGAGGGAGAGATCATTGAGGGATGGGGCTTCATGATTGGGGTCCTAATCTTCAGATCCTTGGTGTGATGACCTCTGGTGGCAGCCTCCTCCAAGAGACAGAAGCCAAAGGCAGGGATAAGGTGAAGGGCAGACTCATGGACTGGTTTTCTGAACCATATAAACCTTGGACTATAAACCTATAAATCCAGCCTCTGCTTGGTTTCCCCCATCCAACGGTGCCCTCACTACCCTTCTTTCAGACAGTCTGCTCCCTCCTCAGATATCCTTGTCAATTGGAAAAATCCCTCTTGGGGAACCAGTTGCCTTAGGACTGAGACTTATCTGGGACTATCTGGTAGGTCCCCAATGACCAGGTTCATTTGCATGGGGACTGAGGGGATCCCTGGAGAAAGGTCACCCTGAGGGAAAAAGGGCCCAGGTAGGACCACCTGGCCTACTGTCATAGCCCCCCTCAGAGAAGGGCTGAGCTGGTTTGGAGTAAAATCAGTGGTGGTTCTTTCTTTAAATTGTCAGGAGGTCCAGTCTTAGAGTATCAGAGAGGGCCGAGGGTATGATTGGGGCAGGAAAATTAAAATGGAGATTCTCAGGTGGCTCTGTTAGCTTTTCTGTGTCATTATTTCTTCTGGGCCTGATATGCAGGGCCATCTACCAAGGTAGCCAGACTGCTTTCCCTGTTTGGACCAGAGGTGGACAGTGTTCCAAGGGGACCCAATCGCTAACCTCTCACCTCTGACCTACATGACCCAGCTCAAAAAATGACCTGAGCCCATCAAACTCTTTTCTCAAGAACCGGAACTAAGTTATAGAAAGGTTGGTGGTGATGCTTGAGATACAAGGACTTGAGGGTCTGATCCGGACATGATGGGAGAATTGGAGACGCATTTCATGTTCCCTTTGAGGCAGAGGTGGGATTTCCAGGCCGGGACTTTTCCCACCATTTTGTCTTCACCAAAATGACCCCTCCCCAGTGCACTGCTCCTCAAAGTTTGCAAGACCTTCATGGATTTGTCCCACAACCTTAAGCGAGGCTGGAGCAGGGGTCAGGGTTAGTGGCCCTCCTTCAGGTCTGTGGTGCTGGAGAAGGCAGTAACGGGTGGCTGGAGATGGGGGTCTGAGGCCTTGCCCAAGGTCACCTACACCTAAAACCTGAGCTCAGGGCTCCTAATTCTTCAGCCAAGTGCCCTTTCCAACTCTCCATCTGGTTCATCGATCATGTTGTTTTTCTGAACTGCCTTGTCCTATCCAGACAGTCCTGGCTAAGGAAGTGAGGCATGCGCAGGCCGCAGACTCTGTCCATGGTGTAGGCGACACAGCTCTGACACCCTCCCGCTCATGCTTGGTGGGACTTGGGCTCCTTATCTCTAAGGGGAGTATCATGGTGCCCAACGCCTAGAGTTGTTGTGAGAACAGCCTGCAATAAAGTACGTTCGGGGCCTGCCGGGAAGTTGCAGGACAGAACAGTTGCAGTCTGCCTCCAGCCTGCTGTGGGGGGGTAGGAATGGCAAGTGGGGGTGCAAAGTCTCTATGTCCAGTTGCTTCTACTTTGGCCCTTCTACCTGGCCAGATGGAAGCTCTAGGTCAGTCAGAGAGTTAAAGATTGGCCAGGTGTGCGTGAGAAGCTCAGGTCACCTCCTGACTGCAGTTAGGGCAGTGACCGTTGGGTGACTACTGGGCCTGGAACTCCCCAGGGAGCTGGACCTTGGCTAAATCTTGGACTGACAAAGTATGGCCATGTCTGCTTTCTGCTTGTTGGTGCAGCAGTGGAGTTTCCCACTAGTTAGGAGTTCTGAAGGTTAGCACCATGCTCCCCTGCACTGGAGCTCACAGAGCCAGGCCGTGTCTCCTTCCTCCGACAAGGCCATGTTTCCTGAGTTCTGGGGCCGGGCGAAATCCCCTCTTCAGGCTGGGACTCTCCTCGCAGGCTCGTTTCCCCCTCGGCCTGGAGCCCCCGGGTAGGCCTGCATCCCTTAGTCTGTCATGTTCAGGACAGGATCACGCCCTCCTCCTGTTCTCAGGGCAGGATACCGTCTCTCCTCTCAGACTGGGGTTCCTTGGAGCAGAGCTGTGCCGCCTCCATCTGACAGGTGAGCTGAAGTGGAAGTTCCGTGAAGACTGTCTTGGGTTTGAAGGCAGGCAGAGAGACGGCCGGATGGAGCTCAGGTGAAGTGCTTCCTACCTCCGGGATTTCAATGCTTGGTTTCCCCCATCCAACGGTGCCCTCACTACCCTTCTTTCAGACAGTCTGCTCCCTCCTCAGATATCCTTGTCAATTGGAAAAATCCCTCTTGGGGAACCAGTTGCCTTAGGACTGAGACTTATCTGGGACTATCTGGTAGGTCCCCAATGACCAGGTTCATTTGCATGGGGACTGAGGGGATCCCTGGAGAAAGGTCACCCTGAGGGAAAAAGGGCCCAGGCAGGACCACCTGGCCTACTGTCATAGCCCCCCTCAGAGAAGGGCTGAGCTGGTTTGGAGTAAAATCAGTGGTGGTTCTTTCTTTAAATTGTCAGGAGGTCCAGTCTTAGAGTATCAGAGAGGGCCGAGGGTATGATTGGGGCAGGAAAATTAAAATGGAGATTCTCAGGTGGCTCTGTTAGCTTTTCTGTGTCATTATTTCTTCTGGGCCTGATATGCAGGGCCATCTACCAAGGTAGCCAGACTGCTTTCCCTGTTTGGACCAGAGGTGGACAGTGTTCCAAGGGGACCCAATCGCTAACCTCTCACCTCTGACCTACATGACCCAGCTCAAAAAATGACCTGAGCCCATCAAACTCTTTTCTCAAGAACCGGAACTAAGTTATAGAAAGGTTGGTGGTGATGCTTGAGATACAAGGACTTGAGGGTCTGATCCGGACATGATGGGAGAATTGGAGACGCATTTCATGTTCCCTTTGAGGCAGAGGTGGGATTTCCAGGCCGGGACTTTTCCCACCATTTTGTCTTCACCAAAATGACCCCTCCCCAGTGCACTGCTCCTCAAAGTTTGCAAGACCTTCACGGATTTGTCCCACAGCCTTAAGCGAGGCTGGAGCAGGGGTCAGGGTTAGTGGCCCTCCTTCAGGTCTGTGGTGCTGGAGAAGGCAGTAACGGTGGCTGGAGATGGGGGTCTGAGGCCTTGCCCAAGGTCACCTACACCTAAAACCTGAGCTCAGGGCTCCTAATTCTTCAGCCAAGTGCCCTTTCCAACTCTCCATCCGGTTCATCGATCATGTTGTTTTTCTGAACTGCCTTGTCCTATCCAGACAGTCCTGGCTAAGGAAGTGAGGCATGCGCAGGCCGCAGACTCTGTCCATGGTGTAGGCGACACAGCTCTGAGACCCTCCCGCTCATGCTTGGTGAGACTTGGGCTCCTTATCTCTAAGGGGAGTATCATGGTGCCCAACGCCTAGAGTTGTTGTGAGAACAGCCTGCAATAAAGTACGTTCGGGGCCTGCCGGGAAGTTGCAGGACAGAACAGTTGCAGTCTGCCTCCAGCCTGCTGTGGGGGGGTAGGAATGGCAAGTGGGGGTGCAAAGTCTCTATGTCCAGTTGCTTCTACTTTGGCCCTTCTACCTGGCCAGATGGAAGCTCTAGGTCAGTCAGAGAGTTAAAGATTGGCCAGGTGTGCGTGAGAAGCTCAGGTCACCTCCTGACTGCAGTTAGGGCAGTGACCGTTGGGTGACTACTGGGCCTGGAACTCCCCAGGGAGCTGGACCTTGGCTAAATCTTGGACTGACAAAGTATGGCCATGTCTGCTTTCTGCTTGTTGGTGCAGCAGTGGAGTTTCCCACTAGTTAGGAGTTCTGAAGGTTAGCACCATGCTCCCCTGCACTGGAGCTCACAGAGCCAGGCCGTGTCTCCTTCCTCCGACAAGGCCATGTTTCCTGAGTTCTGGGGCCGGGCGAAATCCCCTCTTCAGGCTGGGACTCTCCTCGCAGGCTCGTTTCCCCCTCGGCCTGGAGCCCCCGGGTAGGCCTGCATCCCTTAGTCTGTCATGTTCAGGACAGGATCACGCCCTCCTCCTGTTCTCAGGGCAGGATCCCGTCTCTCCTCTCAGACTGGGGTTCCTTGGAGCAGAGCTGTGCCGCCTCCATCTGACAGGTGAGCTGAAGTGGAAGTTCCGTGAAGACTGTCTTGGGTTTGAAGGCAGGCAGAGAGACGGCCGGATGGAGCTCAGGTGAAGTGCTTCCTACCTCCGGGATTTCAACTCAGAACACCAGCTGTCTTTACTTCTTATATAATTTTTTCAAAGTCATACACAACCATAATTATTTCCAGAATGTTGGGGGGCAATTATGCCACTGAACAAACACTTTGGAAATCAAGGTCTGGCTCATTTTCATCTTATCTCAGAGAATTATAATTTGTAGGACAGATAAGGCTGAGGCTTGATTAGTAATAAAGAAAAAATAAACTGAAGGAATGTAACAGCCAGAGTTCAGTGAGGTAGGCACCCCAAGGGGGACACTGCAGCTTAGCCTTATTAGTCTTTGTGGTCACTGCTCGGAAGGGGCAGGCTGAGGGGTCCAGCAGCTGTGTGCTGGCTACTTGAAAAGGGGGTGTTGGCAGGGTCAAAACTCTCCAAACTCACTCCTAGGCCTATAACACCTATGGTTGGGTCACCATTTGAACCACCTTCTTATTAAATTTTCAGTTTAAACTGTCAGGGACTATTTTTTTCCACAGAACACATCTCTAAATACAGTGATAAAAGGTAATTAGGAAAGAAGGATTCACTTTGCAAAAAACCAGTCTCCCGCCCATGCGGCTAGATGAGTCTATTCCGAAAAGTTGGGGTCATGGCCAGTGAGTGGGCCCAGCCATTCTTCCTGTGTTATTCTCCCCTCCTTCTGCTTGGGATCCTCCCTGAGGATTCCTCCCGCACGTTCCTTGCTTGAGCCCCCACACCTGGGTGGGCACTCTGGCATCGCACTGTAGCCACCTGGTCCCTCCAGGACATACAGGGTGTCCTTGAAAAGAGCCTTGGGCTGCAGGGGCATTAGGGAGGCAGGATCAGTTTAGGTACGTGTGGGGAGGAAAGAAGCTCACGTCTCAGCATATTCAAACTGTTTTTCTGTCTCTGTTTTTCAGTGGGGAGGAGCCTTGCTCACAAACAGGAGCTAAAACACTACAAACAGTCGTCTCCTTCTGTAAAGAACAAAGCAAACCTGTCACACACTTAGAGCCTAGGGCTCTCAGGAGGTCAGTGGATCCAACTCTGCCTCCATTCAGCAGGTGGAAACATTGGAGGTGGAAAAGGGGGGCTCTGCCACTGCACAAGGGTGCATGGCGAGTGCTCCACCCCAGGAGAGGGGAGAGAGGGTAAGGCCTGGGCCTTTTGAAACTGTTTTGGCAATAGTTCATTGTGTTGCTTGCCTTCTTGCGTTTTTCACTGACAGACATTTTTTTGAGCAGCTTTAGGTTATAGAAAAAAATGAGTGGAAAGTAAAGAGATTTCTCCTTTATCTGCCCTGCCTGCTCCCAGTTTCCCCTAGAAGTAACACCTTGCTTTAGCAGGTACATATTTTACAATTGGTGAACCAGTGTTGATACATGTTTATTAACTAAAGTGCAAAGTTTACATTAGGATTCACTCTCTATGTTGTATGTTCAGTGGGTTTTGACAAATGTACATGCTGTGTATCCACTGTTACAATATCATACATGAAAGTGTCGCTACCCTAAAAATCCTGTATGCTCCACCTGCTGTCTCTCTCCTCCCATCCCCACTGCTCTGAACTCCTGGCAGCCACCAATGTTTTTACTGCCTCTATAGTTTTGTCTTTTCCAGGATGTCACATAGTTGGAATTATAAAGTAGGTAACCTTTTCAGATTGGCTTCTTTCCCTTATCAATATGTATCTAAAGTTCCTCTATGTCTTTTTGTGACTTTGGTAATAATCATTTATTTTAATGCATGGCCATTTCACTGTGTTAATCACCTTGTCTAAAAAATGTGGTAAAATATACATAACAAATTGACCATTTGGGCCATTTTAAAGCGTGTGATTCAGTGGCATTAAGGATATTCACACTGTCAAACCATCACTAGTATCCATTTCTAGAGCTTCTTTGTCATCCCAGGCAGAAGCCCTGTGCTCATTAACCAATACTTCTCCATTCTTCCCTCCTTCCCAGCCCCTGGTAACCTCTGTTACACGTTCTGTCTCTATGAGCTCGCCTATTCTAGGTACCTCATATAAGTGGAATCATACAATATTTGACCTTTTCTTATCTGGCTTATTTCACTTAACATTATGTTTTCAAGTTTTATTCATGTCGTAGTATGCATCAGCATGTCATTCTTGTTTGTAGCTGAATAATATTCCATTGCATGTCTATGCCACATTTTGTTAATCCATTCATCTGTTCCTGGGCACCACCATTGCTTCCATGTCTTAACTATTGTGAATAACACTGCTATCAACATTCCTGTATAGACATTTGAACACCTGTTTTCAATTCTTTTGGGTATATGCCTAAGAGTGGAATTTCTGGGTCACATGGTAATTCTATGTTTAGCTTTTTGAGGGACCACCAGACCATTTTCCACAGTGACTGCATCATTTTATATTCCCACTAGCAATGCATAACGCACAGGTGTTAAAATTTCTCCACTATTTTTCATTTTTTAAAAAAAATTGAGATACATTTGGCTTGTAGTATTTTATTGGTGCCAGGTATACAACCTAATGATTTGATACTTGCATTATTAGGAAATAATCACCACAAGTCTAGTTAACATTTATCACCATACATAGTTACAATTTTTTTTCTTGGGGTGAGAACTTTTAAGATTCACTCTTTTTTTTCCTGAGCCAGGAGAAGATCTAATCTTTAGCAACTTTCAAATATGCAATATAGTATTATTAATTACAGTCATCATTCTATACATTATATCCCCAGGATGTATTTATTTTAAACCTGGAAGCATGTACTTTAAACCACTTCACCCATTTCACCCTCCCCACAACCCACTGGCAACTACCAATCTGTTTTCTGTACCCATGAGCTCACTTTGTTTAGGGGTTTTATTTTTTAGATTCCACATATACCTGAGATAATATAGTACTTGTCTTTATCTGACTTATTTCACTTAGCAAAATGATCATAGGCCCATCTATGTTGCAAATGGCAAGATTTCCTTCTTCTTTTATGACCAAATAATATTCCATTGTGTATATTTATCACATTTTCTTTACCCGTTCATCTGTTGTTGGACAGTTAGATTGCTCCCGTTTCTTGACTATTGTAAATAATGCTGCAGTAAACATAAGAATGCATATATCTTTTTGAATTTGTGGTTTTGTTTTATTCAAATAAATTCCCAGAAGTGAAATTATTGGGTCTTGTAGTTTTTCAATTTCTAGTTTTTTGAGAAACCTCCATATTGCTTTCCATAGTGACTGCACCAATTTATATTCCCACCAACAGTAGGAATGGGGAAAAGGGTTTCCTTTCCACCACATCTTTGCCAACATTTGTTATTTCTTGCCTTTTTGGTAATAGCCATTCTGACAAGTGTGAGGTGATATGTCACTGTGGTTTTGATTTGCATTTCCAACGATTGAACAACATTCCCTGTTGAACACCTTTTCATGTGACTATTGGCCATCAGAATGTTTTATCTGGAAAAATGTCTATTCAGATCCTCTGCCCACTTTTACATCGGTTGTTTGTTTAATTTTTGCTATTGAGTCGTATGGGCTATTGAGTCGTATGGGTTCTTTATATATATTGGATTTTAACCCTTTATTGGATGTGTGATTTGCAAATATTTTCTCCCATTTAGTAGGCGGGCTTCTCATTTTGTTGATTGTTTCTTTTGCTGTGCAGAAAAGCTTTTTAGTTTGAAGTGGTCTCATTTGTTTATTTTTGCTTTTGGGACCTTTGTTTTGAGGTAAGATCCACAACTCAAGGAGCCTACTACCTATGTTTTCCTCTAAGAGTTTTATAGTTTCAGCTCTTATATTCAAATCTTTGGTCCATTTTGCATTGTTTTGTGTATAGCATGATAGGGGTCCAGTTTCATTCTTTTGCATGTGGCTGTCCAGTTTTCCCAACACCATTTATTGAAATGACTGTCCTTTCCCCACTGTGTATTCTTGGCTCCTTAGTTGCAAATTAATTGACCATACATGCATAGGTTTGTTTCTGGGCTCTCTATTCTGTTTTTTTAATCTATGTGTCTGTTTTTATGCTGATACCATGCTGTTTGATTATTATAGCCTTGCAATACAGTCCAAAATCAAGGAGTGCGATCCTCTAGCTTTGTTCTTCTTTCTCAAGATTGCTTTGCTTCGGGTTTTTCATGAGGCAGGGAGGTGAGTTAGGGAGAGATGAGGAATGGCTGCTAATGGGTATGGGTTTCTTTTTTGGGTGATGAAAAATTCTAAAATTGATTGAGGTGTGGTAGCGCAACTCTGAGTGTATTAAGAGCCACTGGATTATACACTTTAAGGAGGTGAATTGTATGGTATGCAAATTATATCTCAATAAAGTTTTTATTCAAAAAAAAAAAAGAAAGAAACAGGGGCTGTGGTCCCATGGCTGATCCCCATCTTCCCCTTTGCATCAGCATGCTGATGCATCTTTCACTTGATGGGGAAGCGTCGCCGTGCCTGGACATGCTCACAGCGTGCATGCTTCATGGTCAGCCCGAAAGTGGACGTTAGGTCTACTTTTATGCCTGGTGGCACACTGAACTCCATCTGCTGCAGCAAGATGGCCAGAAAGAGGAAGACCTCCCACTTGGCCAGGACCTCTCCTATGCACCGGCGCTTGCCCATGCCAAACATCATCACCTTCTCACTCATGGTCTTGTTGATGGTGCCGTCAGCATTGAGAAATCGCTCCGGCCGGAGCTTGTCAGGGTCCCCCCACTGCTTCCTGTAAGGGGAATAGAGGAGATGGGATTTCTGGGTTGGGGAGGCCCTGGAGGAAAGGTCTGGAGAAGACTTCTGTTGATAGTACAAACGTTAGAATAAGTTGAGAGCAACAAAAGGGGAATGGGGAAAAGGCACCAAACTGTATTCTGATATTTATTTTACAAAGTCTTTCTAAAATGATCAGCCTTGAAAATAGTGTTTTTTAATTTTAAGTTGTTAAAGAAATGCCTTAATTAAGAGAAATGAAAAGAAGGAGAACATGTTTATCTCCATCCTACTCAAGACACAAGGTGAATCAACAGTACATCCTGGCTTATGTTTATTGTTTTGGAATAATTATTGATAGCACCCCTTTTCAAAGTCAGAAGTACCCCTGTTTGGATGGTAAATTATATGGTTTCCCTACCTATAGACTCAAGTGGGATTTTCCAAAGAGAGTTCCCTAGGGTGTTCACACTAGAATTCCCTGAAATACTCCACCTTACTTATTAAAGTGGGATCTCAGGGGATGGGGTATGTAATCTGTGACCAACTTCCTGGCCAATTCTTTTGTTCACTAATGTTTGAGAAACATAGACGTCAATTCTGTTACTTAGAGCAGGTTATATAGCAATTGAGGCACCATTCCTTTATTATATGACCAGCTCCTAGGGGGACAGACAATGTTCCTGACTGAAGAACTTTACACATTTTTTAGCAGGGGATATATACTCACTGGTCATGGTTGACCTGCCACTGGTTTATGAAGACACAGCATTTCTTGGGGATATAGTAGTCATTCAGGGTCGTGTCCCTTGTTGTGCTGAGGAGGGAAAGAGGTCTGTCAGTCTCAGGGGCAGGAAAGCCGGGCATGTCTTTGGGAGCTACCCCTACCCACCCCAATAACCTGCCCACCACAGTCTCCATGTCCTACATCATGAGGGAATGTCGGGAGCAGGGAAGCAGTGAAATTATCCTTCCCCTTCCTCAGCTCCTGTTCTTCAACTTGAACTTCTGTTTGTGCCCAGCTGTGCCCTTGGCCATTCTCTGGAGCCAAGAAGCAGAGGTCTGGGCCAGTCTGGGGAGTTCCCAACCTGACGGAGAAGTCAGGTCTCTTACTCTGGGAATAACTAGGTCAATACATGGGCACAAGTAAATGCTCACTAACTCTCTTGACATTGTCAAAATCCCAGGACATAATCAAGGACATATGGCGTAAGTTCCGACAAGATATCAGAGAATGAAGTTGTGCCAACTGGATGAGTCAAGAAAATCTAGGGTAGGGGAAGTTTGTGTCAGAACTGACCTTGGGAAAGATAGGATGCCAGTAGCCAGAGTGGAGGGTAGAAGGCATTCCAGGTAGAAGGTCCAACATAAACAAAATTGGAGGCCTGCTGAATCATGCTTATGGGGTATAGTGAATCCAGCCTGACTGGACTGAGAGTATTTGTAGGATGGGAATGTGAGCAGAGGTCAGGAGCATGACTGTCTCTTGAGATCGGCATGGTTTGATCATGTTTGGACGGGATAGGGCAGACTAGACCAGAGGCTAAAGTTATTAAGGAACCTGGTGTCACGGCCAAGAAGGAAATGGCAAGAGGTAGGAAGGCAGAATAGGGAGGCCTCACCAGTGAGGAATAGTGAAGGGGACGAAGGAGGAGTGTCGGAAGGTCTCTAGGATGAAGGCCTCCAGATAGGGCAGCTGGGGTCTGTCTGAGAGCCGGGGCCGCCGCTCCCTGCCAATCACTGCATCTGCAGAACACAAAGGACCAGGTAGGGCTTAGGGCTGCCCTGACTGCTCCATGACGTCTGTGCCCCCTACTATACCAGGTGTCACTCTTTGTGGTACTATGTCTGTTTATATGCTTGAAACACACTGTCTCCACCCCCAAATCCTTTAGGCAAGGATGGGCATTATTGTATGCCTGGGGCTTGAATAAATGACCTGGGACCCCAAGTCTTCTCTCTGCCAGAAGGTTGAGGGACACCACCTACCTAGTTCCTCCTGGATCTTCCTCTGTATCTCAGGATTTGTCACAAGGTACATAAGGCTCCAGGAGATGGCTGTTGTGACTGTGTCAAACCCTGGGCAGCATGGGGTAGATGAGGAAGGAAGAAAGACAGTTACCAGGAACCAGCGTCGCCAACCACCCACCATGTATGTTCTAAGCATTGTTTTTCTCTGCCTCCCACCCACTATGCCATAAGTTTTCTGATGGCAGAGACCAGGTCTCTACAACGTAAACTTGAGTGACTGCTTTTGTAACCAGCTGCTAGAATGACAGGTGTCTAGACTTACAGTGCAGAGAAAACTTTATTCTTTAATGGGGAAACTGAAGCTTGGAGGAGGAAGGGACTTGGTTGAGTTTCCACTGGGAGTCGTTCACATGGCCTGAGCTCAAACCCAGAAGTGGGCCAGATCTCTGTGTCCTGCACCACTTGGCATGTGGTTGGTGAGTTGTGTGATGGACTTGGGGGCTGGGAAAGGCTGTGGGAGAAGAGCAAGCCCTGATGGATGGAGGGGCAGGGGTTTAGCTCCTACCGGCCCCAAAAATATCATTGACAAGGTTGATGATCTTCTCATGGGGGATGAGGCCGCCGCTGGCTCTGGAGTCCTTCTCACTGTGCTTGAACAGGGCGCCTGTGATGTCCTGGACGATGTTCTGTGGAGGTACATGCTCAGAAGAACCCTGGAACCTCCAGGGCCAAAGACTGCCCCGTGCCCCACCCCATCTAGCATTGCCCTGGCCTCCAGGCAGTGGGTTGGACTCACAGGGGGAGCTGGTAGCAGTCTTGGGTAGGGCTTAAAGTGTCATTTCATGCCCCATTGGCTCTTCCCCCAAGAACCCCTGGTGTCTAATTTCAAAGGAGGAGGTTGTTGTGAGTGCAGGGAAGCAAAGTGACATCTGAGCTGGGCATTAGTCTGCCGGGGCTCAGGTTCCTCCAGAACAAAGACTTTCCTCCTCGCGATAACAGCCCCGCACATGGCAGAGCTCTGCCAAGGCCCCATTCGCTGCCTTATCTCTCTGGGATCCGAGCAGCCCTGAAAGGGAAGCTAAAGGCTATGGGGAACTGAGGCCACAGAGGGAGAGGGATCGGCTCCAGGACACACGGCCAGCCCGAGGCATCCCAGAGCCCGCCAAGGCCGTGCGGGTACCCCGGACTCGGGCGAGGGGGCCCATGCACAGCCCCTGCAGCGTGTGCCCTCGTCACCGGCACCCCGGGCTCACCTTGTCAAAGTCCTGATAATGCTGCTGGACTATTTTCTGCAGGAACTGCGTGAACCTCCTGTTGAAGTCCTTGAACCTCTGTCGGGAGGCGCTGGGCACGTATCGAAGGAAAGGGAAGAAGTCCAGGGGGTTCCCAGAGGTGGCGTTCTCCACGAACTCATGGCTGTTGTTCACGAGGCTGAGCATTTCCTCACTTTGCTGGGGGAAGTGCTGCCCGAAGCACATAGCTCCTATGA